GGCCACACGGAGAAACCGGTGTGTATGAAAGATTTATGCAGAGGAGATTAAGCTTGGTCTCCAAGACTACTACACTTGGAGAAACAGGAAAGTTCTATCAGTTTACAGAGAAAAGCAAGTAGTGGAGAAATTAATAAACCGAATTCTAAGTTAAATTTAGAGAATTAAACATGTTTCTTTAGCTATTAAGTAATGTTTTATTGTTACTCTTTTCGTAAGCTCTGTTTTTTTAAAAAGTTTCACTAAAACTTATGAAATATTCATTGCATTGACCAGTAAGGGACCTAAACCTTTCATATGCGAGTAAGTATGCAAACATGGTTCTTGTCAAAGTCAAATACAAGGCTTTTTACATACGAGAGACTCAAGGATTGTTTGCTGGTGAATTGGGTTTAGTAGATCGGAAGGTTTAGTCCAAATGTGCAAGCTGAGTTTTGTCTTCAATGGCGGTAGATCTTCAAAACATGATCTATTGGTCTCCGGCAAAGAGGACAAGACTTCCCCTGCAACTTCATGGAGCATGTTATGCAGCAGCACATATGACCACACCTACAAAGTCCGAACCAAACAAAATGAGGAATCAAAGATCTGCCATGTCTGATCAGTGACAAGTTTCATGATTTTACAAAAAAAAAAAAAAAAGCAGTGCTCTTACTGAACAAAAGCAGCGTTACACTTCTGATCAAAGCAGATCACACAGAGATCAGGTGCATCGCCATCTCTGCTTGTAACATCTGAGCTGTTCCCATGTAGCCTTTCCAGTTCTGGTGAGGATTTTTTTTGTAGTCAGAGCAATTTCAAGCATATTCAGAAATAGGAAGGATTCACATGTTAACAACAAACTCTTATGGATACTACCTCTAGATACTGTTTCCGCTCTTTTAGCAGCTGCATCAACAACTCTGCAACAAATAACTAACCGGTTAATTCGGATTGACTATTCATTTGCAAGTATATGGCTTTGGCTAAGCTGCAACATACTTTTTCTGTAACAGTCGCCGCCGCCTTGTCTCTAGAGTATATTCAGTTCTCTCTATGATATATTCAATTCTTCCTAGAATATATTTAATCACAGGCTTTGATATCAGAATCACCCCGAGAATAGTTAAACCTATGGCAGCATACTTGAACCTCCTGCAAAAAAATATCTTTTACACTTTTCTAATCAAAATTCTTGTGAAAAAAGATCTATAGGCATACTGAGAAAAGCAAACCTTGACCACTTTCCCAAGTTAGAGATGAGCTGCTCGAGCGGTATTGGAGAGATGTAGAAAGGCCCTCTCTCGGGTTTTCGAATCCTGACATCTCCAATGCCATCCTTGACAGCCTGTTGTACAAAGCAAGCAACAACAAAACTGAGATCTCAAAACGTATTTTGGTATATAAGAAGATTTTCGACATACCTCACCAACAACGGTAAGTGGTGTACCAATTGGAAGAACACGCTCGATGCGTCTTACTCCAAGCATCTGAAGACAATAATGGTGCCACACAAATTTAGCTTTAACCAAACAGGAAACCTAAGAATATCAAAGAAAACTGGAAAGAAGTAAAGACCTTGAGGCCTCGGAGATAATCTAATGTTCCTCGTACAAGCGAAGACGGCTCTGGCTTTTCGAATACTTCGCTTCCAACCGTCAACGTGAAGCCTATTGCACCTTGAGTTCCCGCTACATTCACACGACCTGTTCCATCGTCCTATCGCATACCAATTTCAGATTTTGTAAATAACTTTAGGAACAAGCAGTCAAATCAAGTCCAGTTCACTAGCTGGCTTATGAAACTCAAAATCCAGCAGGCTTACCAGATACCAAGGGACTTGTTTACTCATCGGCTGCATCAATGAACAATCTTGAACCCATGAAAACATCCAATTACGTTTCAAAAAATGGTGTTCTGCCTGAAGAATCAATACCCAAAATCACTAAAACTTCCAATGCATAAAGCTTTCTCTCTAGGAAATGGCAAATCCAATCCACACATACCTCTTCCTCGACAATAACACCGAGTATACCACTATGCTCACTCTTGATAGGTGTCTCAGACCCAACTCTTCCCCATACTCCGACGATCAAAGGCCTCTCTGCTTCTAGCAATTCCGCTGAACAAACCAACAACGAAAGATCACAAAGCAGGGATAATCAGAACCCATCAACCAAAAATTGAAACAGAGTACAGCGAAATTGTCTCACAGAACATACCCAAATAATCGAGCTGGCAAACCCTAGTGACTGATTTGAGAATCTCAGCATCCCTGTGGCATGATATAAGAGAAAAACATTTCACACTATCACCGACACAAAAAGCACAAAAGAGATTCGGAAGAAAAAACCCTAACCTGCCTGTTCTCTGGCTGAGAAGATAGAGAGCAGCGGCGCCTAGGCAACATGCAAATCCACCCCAATGTACCATCTTCTTCTAATTGTGCACACTACTGATTCCTTAAGAAGTTTTCCATTCGTCCTCACGAGAAAGCAACGGAGAGGGAAGCGAAATCAAAGAACCGATCAAAGCGGAAAGGGGAGTGATGAAAAGGGAAGTGATCCGCCGCCGTAAATAAGTTTTTTTTACATGTGAATGGTTTTACTAAGAAAAATTGTAAATCAAACCCTTGAACCTTTTTAAAATATCCAAAAAACCCCGATTAGTTTTTAGTAGTCAAATCAAACTTTTTTTTTTTTAGTCAAAAGACTAAACTTTCATTAAACCGATCTAGACCAGGAAGGAGAAACCGATACATGATAGAGAACTGACTTTGCCAAAGAGTCAGCCTCATAATTGTTCAATCTATTGACATAATCGAAAGATCTGATATCTAAATCTGTAGAGAGATGATGTATATCTTCTAAAATCCCATAAATCTTCAAATTTGGAGTTTTTGATTTGATGAAATGGATCAGGTGTTTCACATCCGAAGCTATCCAGAGATGAAGGGTCAATCAAATCAAACCTTAATCTAGTAAAATGTAGTATCCAAAATGTAGTAAACTGATCCATTGCTAATCAATGATCATATCATTGGAACCAGTGGTTGTTTCTCATTGTTAAAAACTTAGTGGTTGTTTCTGCAACAAAGTTATTAAACATGTTTTAATAATTGTGATTCACACATTTATAATTTGGACTTTTACTAGAGATATTCTTCGGCTCTATATTTGCATATTTTGGCTATACTATATGGAGTTTGAAATTTGAGTATGCCGGTTCTAGATTGATTCCATATCCGACGTTTATTGTTGACTCCATTTAAAAAAAACACAAAACTGAGAATGAACCAATGATTTAAACAGGGACGGATGTAGTGAATGAATTGGAGGTGCACTTGCCCACCATTACTTTCTCAAAATTAGTTTATTTGTGTAAAGATTTTTCATAATATCCCTTTTGATGTATTATTTTGTAGTGTACTACTTAATTATCTTTAGTTCTGCACCGAGTGAAAATTATTTCTAAATCCGCCACTAGTTCTAAATACGTCTTGTTTCTATGCTTGAAGAACTTACTAAACGAAACCAAGTTACAAGAAGCAATCAGATACAATATTATTCTCTCACTGTGTACCACCACAATGTACCAGATCGAAATGTCTACAATGAAAGCTAAACCAGACCAAATCATCTAAAACCGAAACAAAATAAATCGGAAATAGCTAAGCCGGTTTGGTAAATGCAAAAACAAAAGATCTTCTTCACACGATCGTGCCTGCAAAATCCAGAAGTAGGTGAGTTCCCACTCCACATGTCATAAGAGAATCTAATTCAGATATCCTCTTCTACTTTGCATATGCCTAATTCCACGTGGACAACTTCACCACCGTCCGATTACAATATACTGCCGTAAAAATCGTCACTGTCTTCGTCGTCAAAAGCTCCTCCGTCTTCTTCATCCGACGAAAGCGGAATCAGCCAACAAGTGCCGTGCAAATGGCCGTTGACACAGACGAAGAACTCTAACCCACCGTCGCGTGAGCCGAGCCGCCGAGCCGCGCTTTTCGGAACCAGCCGCGCTGCCGTCATGCTCCACACGCGTCCTCCGCAATACGGACACCTAACCTTCTCCTCTAGCTCCGCTTGTCTCCTCACGAGGCACTGCCTCGTCTTCGATCTCATAAATTCCCGAAATACCCCTCTGAAAACCCCTAAATGTTCGTCTCCACCAACCGCGTGATGCTCGCACGGATCGCTCACGTACAGTAGATCGCCGCGGCAATTCTTCGGGAGGAAGAATCGGCCGGAGGTTTTAGAGAATCTCGACTCGCGGACGAAGTGACCCGGCGTCGGTTGACTCAGATTGAAATACCGAGTCGACTCACCGCCGCCGCAGAAAAACATGAGTTTCGCTAACGCGTTCCATCCTCCGTCGATTCGTCCGCTTGGAACTCCGCCGGATAATGCCGATATCATCACCGGCGCACGGTGTTCGCATAATCTCCGCCACAGAATCCGTCTTGCGATTGCGCAAAACCTCTGGCTTACGGTGGCGATTGAGCAAAGTGTGTGAATGTCCCAACTAATCGACTCGAAGACGAGAACCAGGACTCGCTCGTCTTCTATCCCCGAGTCACCGGAGCTTGGTAAACGACTCGGTTGGTTAAATCTGAGCCGTCGATTCGCCTTCATCTGAACGACGGTGAATTTTCCCTCTAGAAGCATTTGAGTTTTTTTTTTTTACCTTCTACACGCGCTTCGTGATCTCACCTATTTATATCCGTTGGTTCACTGCTCGAGGAAGGTACACGTGGCTTAATGGCAGAGTAAGAGATTCCATGGCGCTCCTCGCCACTAAATGTGTCGAGATCTGATTGGTTAGTGGGACGCGTGTCTATTGTTGATTGCGTATACGCTGCAAGAGAGAATCAAGGTATCACTGACGTCTAGGTTGGTGTAAAAAAGATGGGTGCGCCACGTGTTACCGAGTCGCAAACGCGAATCGGAAACGTCTTTTTCTGGAACCGAAAATATCTTTAGGTGACACATGTCTCGAGACCGCGTTTTATTTGCCGTCGAGAAACGTGGCGGTTCGTACTAAACAGTCAAAGGCAAGCAAAGGTCCAACATGTTAGTTTAGAGAAAAGAAAAGTTTAATGATACAAGCCGTGATTTCGAGATCTCTGCCGCTTTATCAGAAAATTGATACACTTGCTAAGTTAAGTATTTAAAATATAAAAATAAATATCTGCGAACACGAATAAAGTTGCATACAGTATTCATTTTTTTTTTTCATATACTACAGTATTCATTTAAACCAAAGTTTTATATGGAGTTTTAGTTTCATCCTTGATAATGATAAGATAAGCCATTTAATTATCGAGGAAAATTACAGAGTTTTTTTTCCATCCCTTATATATTAGTTGTGAAGTGATTTTGTGGAGTTTGCTTATGTGTCTTCACCAAATTCATTCTCACAATTAAAATATGACACGATATTCTCAAAAATATATCGTGGCATTCTAGCCTATTACTCCTTTATTACATTAGTTCAAACTTAATAAAATAACTCAAATTTAATCACCTATATGAATTTGGCCTAAATTTTTATTAACACAATTACTTACCACAATTAAACATAACCTAGTAATGCTCGACTATATATTGATAAGGGATGACGACAACCAAAAAAATCATATTCTTTATATATTAATTAGAGAATGGTTTTTTGAAAAAAATTTATGTGTCTTCACCAAAATCATTCTCCCAATTTTAATGTGACATGTCATTGTAAAAAATATGACATGACATTCTCTCTAATTTAGTCCATTAATCCCTAATTAAAATTAGCCGAAGCTTAATAATAAAATCGACCATAATTCAACTAACCCAATTTTACAAGCTATTGGTCTAGATCATTTCTAATTCTACATTAAACTCATCTTTTATATATAAAGTTATAAGAAAATAATAATGATTTTTTTTTTGCAATTTAAGTATATATTTTCATTTTAGATATTGTTATTCAAAATTACAATAATTCACACGGGTTTAATCAAATGGATATTGAACACAATTGATCACAACATGTTGTGGTTTGTTTTGTCAAATTTCAATCTTCAAAAGAATTTACACACACAGTAGTAGTACTTTGGTGCAATGTGTTAACGACAACGTCAACATTACAACATCAATAGAAATGGAAAAACATTTAGAAACGACAAAATCTTACTTGGTTATTACGATATAAAGTTAGAAACAATGACCAATTCAATGGTTTTTTGTTAATTGAATTGTAAATGATGTTATTATCAACGTTGTTAATGAAAATAAAATTAGTGCCAAGAAACGGAAAAAAGAAATTATTTTGTATAAAGAAATTTGAACTTAAATCATTAACAACTTTCAACCACGACATAATACTTTTTAATTTATTTGATTTCTAAAAAAATACTTAACCGCGTGTAACGCGGAGAATCACCTAGTGTATTTTAAAACACATGTTAATGATATGTTTTCTTAACAACAAATTAAAATTATTTCAAACAAGAAGTATATTTTAAACGCTAACTAGGATATTACCCGCGTTATACACAGGATAATGTGATATTGGAATAAAATTAATATAGTTTTAGTTTAAAAAATTATCTATAGTTATTGGAAAAATTANGATACGAAATCTAAAACTTGTTTATATATATGAATTTCGCAATTATTTTGTATACAAATGTATTCCACCCGTGAAATAATTAAAAATAATAATTTTTTACGTTTTTAGTCAATATATATTACTTATTAATTAAATGTATTTATTTAATATCATAATCTTCAAAAATACGTTTATGACTCAAATATAAAAAAAAAATATTACAAATATGAATTCAATTTTCTAGGTTTAAAGTAATTATGAGGGTAAGTGAATATTGCAAACATTAATTGAACATGTCAATCACGTAATATCTATTTTTTATCCCTAGTTATTTGGTTACCTTATTAGATTTTATTTTTTGTTTCCGTAAAATTTGATTTTAATCTAATCAAATTAGATTTGGTTGGTATTAGTATCCTAAATTTTGGTAACTACTACTTAATTTTCTTGAGATAATGTAATTTCGATTTTTTTTTTGCAACTCAGTTTTTAGTTTCATATTTCTAAGCATAGTTTTATGTTGAGTTTTGGCAACTTTTTTGTTAACAAAACCATATTTGGTGAATATTTAGAATATATAAAATTTGGTTTCATTTCAAATACATTTTTTTCTTTGAAAAAACTATGGTTAAGATTAAACATTAAAAACATGAATTTTTCAAGACAAATGGAAAAAACAGAGATTAGATGATTAAATTGAAACATATAAGAAAAACAATATTGAATACATAAGAAATTATATTTGTGATTGAAAAATAAAAAAATTCAATAATATACGATAAATTTCAAATTTGTATAGAGTTTTCAATTTGTAATGTTTATAAAATAGTGTGAAATGAAAATGTTCTAGTTTTGAAGGTAAACATATATTTTCAGAATTTTTAATGAGTTAAAAATTAGCTATTTATTAAAGTTTGTAATGTGTTTGGCAATTCAACTAAAAGTAACCAAAATAGATATAGCAAGTGAAATAATGTTTAGCAAATGGAATATAGAATTATAAATAAAAAGAAATTTTAAATAAAAAAAAAAAGATGAAAAAATTGTGGGCATGGCACATAAACAATTTTGTTCTAAAATGTTTCTTCTAAATACACCAGGCTTAGCCAATAATGGGCTGTATGATTGGGCCTTATGTAGCCCATCAATTCCGCTTCGAATACAATGGGCTTAAAGGAGTGGTTGGATCACGTGGGATTTTTTCTCTTTTTTTTTTCAAGTAATCAACCAGCAGCAAAAACTTTCTCCCTTGTGGTTTCCGTGTGTGAATGTTTCTCTTCCACAAAAGCCAAACAATCCACAATAATTCCCATTCTTCTCGTCTCAATTTAGGGTTTGTGGAACCACTTCTCCAGCATCTTGCGCGCCTACTTCCGTCGATTGGGTTGGGATTTTTCAATGCCTGAGAGTTCTTTAGCGGAATCTGTCACCGAAAACCCTAGGCAGTATCGAGTTGCTAATTTCCGCCTGCGGTTCTGGCTTAGCTTCGAGAGTTAGAAGGATCCTTACCTTTTTCGAATCTGATTTTCGTTTTTTTTTGTTTAATTGAATTCCGATGGCTCCGAGCCGCAAGAAAGGCGGTGGTAAGGCTGCCATAGCAGCATCGGCTCGCCGGCAGTGGAAGGTTGGGGATCTTGTGCTTGCCAAAGTCAAAGGATTTCCTGCTTGGCCTGCCGCGGTATGTGCATCTCTGGCTCTCTTTCGCTTTATTGCAATTTTCTCTTGATTCTTTGCTTTATGGGTTTGATTTTGCAATAATTGCTTAGAAATTTCCAGATGCGCGGTAGATAGCGTTATATATTTTGGGTTTGAAGTTGCATGTCTATGAATCTCTTCGCATAATTGAGATTAAAGAACAGTTTCAGTTTGATGTTTATAACGATTTTCGTCTGCCTGAGGGATATGGATATTTTGCAGAGGGGTTGTATGATTATAATTGTGCCTTTTACCTAATTTTCAGTAGATTACAGTAGTACCCGGTGAAGAATTATTGTAGTTGTTAGCTGGGGGTTATATGATTATAATTATGGTTTGATATGCCATTTGCTACTTTCAAGTTCTGTTTGAATCTAGTTTTTGGATCACTTGCCCATCCGCTTACCGCCTGAAGCAATTTCAGGTTAGCGAACCAGAAAAGTGGGGATACTCAGCCGATTGGAAGAAAGTTTTGGTTCATTTTTTTGGCACACAGCAGATGTGAGTTCTCATGCCTTTTACTTTTATCCTCGTATATATTGTTTTGCTCTCTGGTCATACTTTCCTTATTGGGCGAATGCTTAGATTTTCTGTTTGACTTCTTCTTTGTCATCCCGCATTATTTGAGGTCACTAACTTTGCGTAGTTGGTTGAGTAGGCTAATCCACTTTATGATGATTCACATTTGAGGATATGAACTTTGGTACCTTTTCTATGGCCATACAGTTTTAATTTGTCTTGTTCAGGCAAATTTACTTGATGTGATGTGTTTACTCTATCAGACACCATGAAGTTATAACTTTGTCTAGCTAAGGCAGGATAACTTGTCTTGTTTAGAATCAGAATCATTCCTGGATTAGACTTCTGGATTCACTTGAGTTAATGTTAATGTAGTGAAAGTTCTTATTTTCAGATAGTTGCCAACATTGCTTCCTGTTGATCATATATTTTTTTAATTTTGGAATTAGCTTCCAGCCTTCCACCAGCTATTGGATGGTGACTTTTGTTATTATTTATCTTACTTAAAAGCCTTTTGTATGTTGAATTCTCTGAAAACTGTTTTATCATTTACTTTGCAGATTAGCATCAACATTTAGTGAATGTTCTTTTTGTTGCATCATTCATTCCCACGGTTAGTGAACACTGATGCATTGTTGGTTATGATGAGAGTATTTTAGCACAGCTGCCCATTTTTCAAATTCAATTGATTAGGTGAATTTAAGGTTGTAACTGTGCGTGATTTCTGCTCTTCCCTCTAGATTAGTTAGATGTTTGTTATGCCAGCATATGCAGTTAGTAATACTTTTTGGTGTATGTGCAGAGCTTTCTGCAATCCTGCTGATGTTGAATCATTTACGGAGGAGAAGAAGCAATCACTTTTGACAAAACGACATGCCAAAGGTTCAGATTTCGTTCGTGCCATTAAGGAGATCACTGAGAGTTACGAGAAGCAGAAGCAGCAGGACCAAGGTAGTGATCGTAACACTACTGAAGAAACAATTTTTGGAAGTTCCGGACTCACTGTAGAGTTGCCTGAGGTTTGTGAAAATCTAATTGGAACAAGACTTGACACTCAAATAAAGTCACATTCTAGTTATGCTAGAGATGAATCAACTATTCTCAGTGAGGACGCTTCTGCTGCTGAACAAATGCTAGCCCTGCGTCATAACAGTGTAGCTCGTAATGGAGCCTGTGATAGTGCAGCAGCTAAAGATCTATGTGAGATAGCTACATATTCTTCAAGGAGAAGAAATACAAGAGCACGATCTCAAAAGTGTGCTCCAGAAAAAATTATATCACCGGTTCAGCACTCCAAAAGTTCATCAGGGTTAGAATTGGATAGGATTCAAAGGTCCATGCTTCAATGCAGTGATGGTGGCCAGAGTGTCGATGATATAGATGATGGAGCTATAAGAACGAGAAAGAGGATCCGAAGGTCAGGTCATTCTGAATCAGATGATGTGGTTTCATCAGCTATAAATTTGCACGGATCTGATGAAGGGAATGCATCTGAAATTGCTACTGTTGAATCTGACAATAATAGTAGGAATGAAGGCAATGGTGTGGATTCTGGCTCCAAACTCGAACATTCTGATGCTGCTGGTGAGAGTTGTGAAGGAGATCATGAGCTCAACAAAAGGCTTGATTTCCAAATTAGCACCATGGTTAAGAGGAAGAAGAGGAAGCCTACTCGAAAACGTGAAGCCAGTGACCTTATTGACCCTCCTGCTAAAATTGAAGCAGAAGAAGATCTTGGGGCCAAGGCATGTGATAGCTGCCAGAGATCACAAAATTCACATGAAAGGCTGAATGAGAGGCCCTGTGAAGAGAATGGTGACGAACATTTGCCTCCTGCTAAAGTTGAAGCAGAAGAAGATCTTGGGGCAAAGGCATGTGATAGCTGCCAGAGATCACAAAATTCACATGAAAGGCTGAATGAGAGGCCCTGTGAAGAGAATGGTGATGAACATTTGCCTCTGGTAAAGCGAGCCAGAGTAAGAATGAGTAGAGCTTTTTATGCTGATGAAAAGGTCAATACCTCTGCACAGTTCGAAGAAAGATCATCTAAAGACACTCTAATAAGTGCAGCAGTGCAGACAAGCCCTTTGGTTAATCGTGAAAATGATATTGTTTCTGGTCATGATACTTCTGCAACCGAGGAATTTAAGAGCGTCAAGATGTCTGCTGACCTCTCAGATGATATGGCTGATGTAGGGCCTCCTCGTATGGAGAAACCTTCTGACAGAATGTCTCCGTGTAGGGTCTATGCTCAGACTGGGGGAGATAAACAAACTGCTATGGAGTTCCATAAGAGTGAGTTTAGCACTTCATCTGATGAAGTAACTCGAGCACAATCCAATCAAGTTAGCAGTTCGTCGGAAGGCAAAGCTCGTATCCCTGAAGTAGTTCAGAGATATTCTGAGGAATTGCAAACCAGGAACTGTCTAATCAGTGAGTCTGATCCTACGGGTGTGCAGTGCTCCCGTCAAAGTGAGAAAAACGAAACCCGGTTTGATCCTGATATTGTGGATTCATCTGCAGATAAATCCCCGAGTTTGTGCTCTGTTTTGGATTTGACAGCATCAGGGGTACCTGCTCAATCTCTTCACCAACCCCAAAGCCTGGACAATAATTCTTCTGACCATGCATTGGCCATTGCTGGAGATTCTCTGAATGAAAAGTGTGAGAAAATTGACTATCATATGGCTCAGGTCGTTCACTCCCATCCTGTAGAGCATTCTCCATTGTTACTTAACCAGGAGGCTGACAACATGCAGGAGACCGAAAACACTCTACTGAAAGAAAAAGTAGGAAGTCCGGGTGAAGAACTTGATAGTGACAAACAAACTTATATGATACAAAATCCAGCCCTCTCTGCTACTAAAAGTGATATGCTAGTTGAAAAAGCGGAACCTCAGTGCGAAACGGTGTATGGTAATTGTGGGGATGCTGTAGAGAATAGAGAGGAGCTTGAAACGAGGTGAGTCTACTGATTATTTCTCTACTCTGCTAATCTCTGATACCATAGTTTTTCTTCGTTTTCCGTAATTAGAATTACTTTTGAAATTACCATCAGGTGTTCAGTTTCTAAACTTACTGATGTCAGACATGACAAGAAACCTATCTATTTAGATTTCGACATGATAATTCATTCCCTATTCTCTCTTACTTTCTCTGTAGTTTTTGTTTCTCATACAATTGAAGATTCACGGAATCTATTAGTTTGCTCTTACTTTGAAAGTCCATGTTCATGATAGGCATATTGATAAACAAATATTAATTAGATTAAGCTTCTTCAGTCATTATCTTGGTCTTTCTTTTCCAGTTCACATAATTGGTTGACTAACAATATAGGGTATCCGTGTGCATTGGCAGCTGCGAGGCTGTTGAACAGAAGGAGCATGTCCAAGCTACCAATTCCATGTCAGCATCTGAGAACCTTTCCGATGTAAAAATGAGCTTATCTCCTGCTGATGTTGAAGACTCTCCTGCCAGGGGTACTCCACATAGCAACTCAGTATTCCATATCTCTACCGCAGAAAGTGTAAATGTTATGCAGAATAACAGTAATTCCAGCAATGTTCGGTTGGGTGAGAAGAAAATTATGTGCGATGACACTGCCAAAGAAGAAAGGAAAGTCGAAACAGGTGTAACTCAGGTGAAGAAAGTTACTGGTTCTGATGTGCAATTCACTATTGAATCTTTTGAGACTGCACTTCACTCATTGGTGAGGACAAAGGAGACCATTGGCCGAGCAACTCGTTTGGCTATGGACTTGGTGAAATTTGGTGTGTCAGCAAAGGTACGAGACGTTGTCTGCTTGTGATCTTGTCTATCTGTTTGTTAATGGTACATGTTAAGCTTGGTGGATCCAATTTTGCTGCGGTTTTGCTTTTTGGATACAACTTACATCTTACTAATTGTTCATACCACTGTACCTGGATATGTCCCATGGTAAAAGCCTATCTGCACTATCTGAAAATTAATTGCTTCAGTCAAACAGAGAGTGAAATTAATTAAACCAATTCTATGTATATCGTGGGGGCTGCTGAATGATGGCTGTAGTATTACTACAGATTAGAAGATTCCCTTATGTATATTGTTTTGTGTGCTTGGCAGGCATAGGACTAGACAACTTTTTCTTCTTATCTATCTATTATCTTTTGTGTACTTGTTTGCAATGTGCTTAAGTGCAACACTCTGTTTGCAGATTTTTAGCTCATATTGCAATGAGAGGCTCTAAGAATCTCTGTCTTGAATTTAGGTGATGGAAATTCTGGCTCATACTTTGGAAAGTGAGTCAAATTTACAAAGGAGGGTGGACTTATTTTTCCTCGTGGATTCTATTGCTCAGTGCTCTAAAGGTCTGAATGGTGAGTCATATAAGTGATCTTTTGCTTAGTTGCATCACTGAAGTTCTTTATGGCGAGTTAACTTTGTGAATACTGCCTTTCTCTTCAGGTGAAGCTGGTGGTGTTTATCTTTCATCCATTCAAGTAATGCTGCCTCGCCTATTGGCTGCTGCTGTTCCAGCTGGAGCTACCACTCAAGAAAACCGGAAACAGTGCTTGAAGGTATGTGGTAAATTTTACTTGGCTCATCTTTTTCTGATGAATATTAATTCTCACCCATTCTGCTCCTGCTCTGTATGTAGGTTTTAAGGCTTTGGCTAGAAAGACGAATCCTTCCTGAATCTATTGTTCGTCACCATATAAGAGAACTTGATTCACATAGTAATGCTCCTGCTTGCCTCTATTCTCGGCGCTCCGCTCGAACAGAAAGGGCCCTGGATGATCCTGTAAGAGATATGGAGGGTATACTAGTGGATGAATATGGAAGGTGAGATTTGGGTCTATTCAATCTTAGGATACTCGTTTCTCTATCTAATGCCATAACTTAATATATTTTTGTGTGTCAGTAATTCAACTCTCCAGCTTCCTGGATTCTGCATGCCTGCAATGCTTGAAGATGAAGACGGAGGAAGTGACTCCGATGGTGGAGATTTCGAGTCTGTCACCCCTGAACATGAGTCCAGAATCCTTGAAGAACATGTCACACCCTCCATTACTGAAAGGCATACCCGTATACTGGAAGATGTTGATGGCGAGCTTGAAATGGAAGACGTGGCTCCACCTTGGGAAGCTGGAAGCAGTGCAATAACTGATCAAGCTTTTAATACAGAGTCTGCGAATTGTCAGCCTGTTTCTGCCACTTCACATCAGCAACTGATCTCGTCATCGCCATCACAACCTCTACCACCTCCCCCTTCGCAGGATGCTCAGTGTGCAATGTCTGATTCCTACTCAAATGGCTTTGACCGCGGTGGATATCCCAGCATGCATGTGCGTATTTTTTCTTATTTTAGAATATTTTCCCTTAACCTAGTGATGATTTGAACATGATAGATTACTTACTCCTATTGTGTCGCTGGTGAATATTCCAGGGGGATCATCTGGCCGGTCCTTCAAGGAATAGTCAACCAATGCATTACCAAAGTCCTGAATCATCTTATAGTTCTCATGTATCTCTGTCAAAAAGCATGCCACGCGGGGAGAGTTCTAACTTTCAGTATAGGCCGTATCCATCTTCTCATCCCCCACCTCCACCTCCTCCACATCATTATTCGTATGTGGAGCCGGACCACCATGTAAGGTCACGGAGAGATGGTCCATCATACCCTCACAGATCTCATTACACGCCGGATTTTGATGAAAGGGATTATCGTAATAGCCATGAGAGAATGAGGCCTGCACCATCTGAGAACCGAGAAAATTGGAGATATCATCCGTCCACTTCTTATGGTGACTCCTTTAACCTTTTTCTTATGCATGCATGGGG